ATATATATATTTGCATACCGCATTACTCTCATATTTGTAATCTTTTATTTATATATACTTATTTAGTTTTTTCAGTGGTATGATTTGGTGGTGAGAATTATTAGTGCCCCCCCAGTTTTGACTGTGGTATCTTATGTGCCCCCCCTATATATTGTTCCTAGAGTCGCCACTGAGGACAGGCCATCAATATTTATTTCTAATCCTTTACATTATGAGGTTTCACAACTCTAAACCCCCTCCACACACACACATAAACTGCTAGATTCTAAGGGACTTGTGCATCATTATGTCCTTACTGAACTAAGAACTAGAATCATTTCCCTACAGCCATGAATCAGTTTTAGACTTTCAGGGGAGGTCTGATGCTGATTAGTGGCTAAGGGTAAGTACCTGCAGTCCTGCAGGAAGGATTTGCTGATATACATACCATACTAAGCTTGTTCAGCAATGCAAATAACAGTGATAATCTGCAAAGAAGTCTAGTACTCCAAGTTAGCCAATTGGAACCCATCTTTCACAATTTTAACCAGAAAAATTTTTTTTTTATTTAAAAATATATATCTAGCTGCCCATAGACTAACATTGAGATTCCGACCCACCTGAAAAACTAAAAGGTGGACCTGTCTAAAATGGGCTTAATGGAATAAGAACATAGCAGTTTCCTTGTAACTGCTCTGCCATATACATTTATGCTTCTTACTATTTCTCTATGAGCAATCAAACTTACCTAAAAGTCCATGAGAATTTGGGGACAACCCTTTGCTGTTAGAAATATAAAATCCCAAGTGGTTTCTTTGATATGGAGCTGGGTTCTTGTAGCGATGGACCAGGATTACAAAGGTAATAGTCCCTTGAATGGTCACGGTGACATTGGATTTAGCAGCAACTGAGACCAAAAAGGCATCACTCTTGACTGTGGCACTCTTATCACATGATAAAATGAGTCGATCCTTGCTGTCTAGGATCACCTTGGTGGGAGTGATTTCTATATAAGCGCGCTTTGGTTTGTTTATGATTATAGTGATCCTGCTAAAGTAGGTTCTTTGTTTCTTATGTCCATTTGGAGGGGCCGGAGCACCGATCAGCTGTCCATTCACTGTCACACCTTGAAAATATAATACAAATTTTCAGTTTTTGATTTATTTATATTTTATTTTAATGCAGGTAAACAAAGCTAGAAACTACCAGTGCTCAAACTGTCATGAAGGCCTGTAAATGCAAGGCCTCATAATGTTTATGATCTTCCTAAATATATGAAAATGTATATACATCATCATTTTTTCACATAGAAAAACTTGTAGTTTGCATTTTTTGCAATCATTGATGAAAATCATGAAAAAGAAAATGTAATGAGAGCTTACCAGAGTATTTGTGGTCTGATACCAGCCTCAGTACGTCTCCAGGTTCACCATCAATATTGAAGCACACTGTCAACTTACTCAAGGGGAATTCAACAACAAAATGTGGATCTCCATCCGCTTAAAGGATACAGAAGTATACAAAAGGAAAATGTCAAAAAACTAAATGTAAAATAAAAACTCCAATTTCACTAAAGAAAACTCATATAACATAGGTCACTTCCACACAGGTCATTTTATCTTTAAAGTGGGGTTTTAGCAAAAATACAAAATTGGCAAGCAGGAAGGGTTTTTTTATTGCAGAAGTGTGCATACCATGTCCCATTTGTAAAAAAAGACTTCTTACCGACCTTCCTCTTCCTTTTGTGAACATCATTTAATTGTACACTGAGCACTGATCTGCACATGTGCAGCTCAGTATACAAACCTAGCATCTGCCGGGATGAAGGAAGTCCCAAAGACATGTATTGGAATTGTATCATCCTGACCTGGACAATCAAGATAGACTTTTGTTCCACTTTATTGTTAGGCTTTAAAAGTATATAAAATATATTTTTAATTTTTTTGATGACTGCATGAAAATATTTCATATTTACATATAGGCATCAGTTAAAGGTTTTTGCAAGCTAAAGCTATCCTAAAGTATCTTCAAATCCAGGAACAATTGATTTATATTGCTGCTTTCGAGTCTTAAAGCGCACCTTTACCCATATCTTTAAAATAACAACAAAGGCACCTTTAGAAATGTTTAGTAATGACAATCTACAAACACATACTTCTAGATAATTGCAGGCTTTTTATTATTTGCATAACGTATTTCTCTTTTCTTTCCCAGTCTTCTGACAGTGGCCATATTAACTAAGGGCAGGTCACTAGTTCTCCCTTTACTTCCTGGAACTCTGGCACATGTGACTAGGACATGTGACCATGCACATCATCTAATGATTTACTTTCTAAGGCTCATGCTTACCAAAAGGGATGCAGACAATAGACCTGTTCTAACTACACACAGAAATTGCTCAGGTAAATAAAGCAAAAACAGTCCCTACTTTTCAGAAATCACAGTGAGAAAACATATAATAATGCAAACTAATTTAAACAAACAAATTAAATCAGAACAGAGAAAAAGTTTGCTAAAATCCTTGCAGATAGATAGAGATATATACGGTGTGTGTGTGTGTGTGTGTATATATATTTCAATATGCAAGATTTTTTTTATTTTCAACAAAAGTAGAATTTCACTTTAATCTGGATGCTAACACACTCTACAGAAAGTTGTCACTTCATCTGTAGAGTGTAGTGCTGTATTTCTAACCACTCCTTTCCTTGCTGACAAATCCTTTTAGATGAATGATTATACAAAAAGTCTTGGCATTCAAAATTTAATTGAACACTCAATTGGGAAATAATTTAGTTTCTTGAATGAAAACCACATTCAATGTTAGAATTTTGTTCGTTTGAGAAACATTTTACCTCCTGCTCTTTCGATTTTTTTTTTTGTGACTACAGTCGAAAACAATAAATCCTTTTGACCCCATTAACTACTATAAAATTGAACAAACTACTATAAAATCGAACAACCATTCCGAAAACAAACTTTTTCTAACACAATTCTACTGACGTATGGCCAGCTTTAGGTTTGGCAACCCTGACGTCAGGCACTTATACATTTAGCACAATACAGCCACTGTAACTATTAGGAAACCAACACATGTAGTCCTTAATTTGCTTCCTACGTTTTCTTGTTTCCTCCCCCTCCTACATATTTTCTTTGCGTCAGTGTTACACTGTTAGTAAAGATTTTGAAATTACTATTAACTGTTGTTTATATGAAGCACTGAGATCTTGAGGAATGCTGAATTAAGTTTGACTTGCTTAGAAGAATATTACTTCTATGTATACAGCATTGTGCAGGAAACATACAGTATAAATAGGAAAACTTCCTGTGTATCATAGATAAGCGTGCATATAGAGAGTAACATTGCACTACACTGCCATCTACAGCTCATAAGACATATTACACAAGTAATACAAGCAGTACATATTAGCATATGCATATGCTGTTGCATTTCCAACATTAACTTCCTTTAAGCCATTTTTAAATGATGTCTGAATGTCTGAATGAGTACTGCAGCAGCACATCCTTAGGCATGGTTGCATTGTTCATCAAAAACACAAACATTTCATATATCAAAGCATTTTCCTAATATATTACCTGAAGTTTTAGAAATAGTTGGTTTTGGTTTGCTTATCTGTTGGGATGGAAGTTCTAGTAAAACAAAAAGGAAAATCGTTACATACCAAGTGTCTCATCAAAACACTTGAAAACAAAGGATTTGAGAGTGTCAAGCTTCCTTCACGATAACACATTTCCGCTGATAAATATACTGAGCCTGCATTGTTTGCAAAGCTGTAATGGAACTTCTTGGCTTGACTTCAAGTAGTTAAAAAAATAGGAAAGCAGTATCACCTATTTTATCAGCCTTGAAATGTCAAGTCTTAACTCATTACACACTTTCTGCATTTAACAACCTATGACAGTTATTTCAAGGCTACCACAAATGAAGTGTAAGATTAACACTGAGATCCAGGCAGATATAATACATATTTATTGCAGTTATATATTTATTCAAATTAATGTATGTACCTGTATGTCTGCTACCAAACTCGTTTAATGCCCTGTTTACCACTCAGAATTGGAGGGGAATGATCAGTACTCAGTGCCAATAAGGTTTGTAGCATACACATCTGTTGATGAGAAATATGCTGACAGGAGGAGAGAGATCACCTCATTAGTCCACTGCTTCTTCAGTGTCCAATCACAAGCTGGGGGCAGGGAGGTTACCAAGCTTTATTGCTTAACTACAGTGGAACAAATGAGGTTGCCAACCTGAGGGCTGTGTAAATCTCAGGACTGGCTGGACAAAAGTACAAATCAGCAGGTAAAACAACTCCAATATATGCATTTTAACTGTGTATTTAACAGGTTGCCTGGATGCCAGGAAGGCTTTAGAATCTTTTGTTTGTAGCAATGGTACCTGCCAATGTGTAACTCACACAGAAACAGAACACAACAGGTTAAACCCTTTATATTCATCTCTATATAATTTTCCTAGACTTTGCTGTCCTGTGTCTAGGACTTCTCTCCTAAAGTTAATCTTGAATGCTGGTTGCATGTTAGTAACCGCCAAAACTAGTACAATATAGAACCGTGAAACATGGTGGATTCTATCAATAAATATAACTAAAAAAATTAAGAATTCAAAGCAGAACGCCAGAAAAAATTACCCTTAATAGGCCAGTTATTGTAAAAATGTAAAAGTAACTTTTGCTGACCTACTAACTTTCAATCCAGGGGGCCCCCCACAGTAATTCCTTTTTAGTGCTACTCGATGTTGTGAGCATCAGTTAACCCACTTCCTCTAAGGACAAGCTCCTAGGGATACACCCCCACACCCCCCCTACCATCCTACCTGGGGTCTAAGTGTTAAGGGGGCTGACCTTGGATCTGAATGTAAAGGGGGCTGATCTGGAGTCTGAATGTTAGGTGTGGGCATTTTTTTCTACCATCAATGCCGGGGCATTTTTTTCTTCTCTACTGACCAGCAATGTAAGGAGCACTTTGTTACATAATCCTAACTGCCTCACTCAGTATGGTATTCTGTTCCATACTCCTGACTAATGTATTTGATTCTCAACAGCTTCTGGTTCTTTAAGGTAGTCTCAGACAGAAAGCATATGTGATATGTTGTCCTGAGGTTCATGTGTGTCTGTAAAACTCTCACTTTTGGCAATGTAATTACAAAGTATTTTGTGGGTACAGGTAATGCAGTAAATGAGTGTAGTGTATACTGTGACTAAAACTTATATTATGCCTTCCCCTGGCTCTCCCTCTTTATGATAGAACTAATTTGGGAGGTATGGACCACCGGGGGTGCATCATAATATGGGCCTGGGCCTATAGTACTGCTGAATTGAAGGACCAGTGATGTCAGTGGACTGGCCAGAAGTCCATTGGAAAAAAAGATAAGCTAAGATAAGCTAGATTGCTTTAAATAAAATACCAAATTCAAACTAACTTAGATAGCAGTAATGTGATATCTGAAAAATAACTTTTCCACTAATGATAACTCACTAAGCAGCCAGCACCTATGTGAAAATGTAATCAAAAAAAATGTAATGAAATCAACAAAACTATACAATAAAAGTGCAGCACTCCACAAATCTATAACAGCCACAGAAAACTCCAAGTATGTTCAGGCTGCTGAGAGTAGTGAGAACACTGTGGCTATGTGCTGAACACCTTCCCTTGTTTTATCTACTCCGGGCGTGGAAAGCAATTGTATCATTTGTGAGAGGGAGATTTAGCATTTGCATGTATGCACAATGTGAGTTGTTTTTAATTGAGTTCTTAATAAAATGTAAACAGTTTTATGCTATGTACCACCTGATCTTTTATTTGTGAGCATTACTGTTTGTTGGAAGTCATACTGGAGAGACCCCACCTGTGACTACATGAAGAAATCTTAACCCCTGAAGATAGGGGACAAGTTTAGCTGGCCATACTATTATTATGCTACAGGATTTATATAGCGGCAACAGTTTGTGAAGCACTTTAAAATATAAGGAAAACATTACAGTTGCAATACAATTCAAAACAAGATGGGTACAATCTATAAGGGAGGGGCAAGTGATACAGAAGGTGGTAGGTGTGTGGGAATGAGTTGTTTGAGAAAATAATAGTTCAGTGGTTAGGTTGAGTTGGGATAGGCTTCCCTGAAGAGATGAGTTTTCATGGATCACCTAAAGGTAGACAGAGTAGGAGATAGCCGGACAGGTTGGGGTGAAGAGCTGCAGAGGATGGGAGAGACTCTAGATAAGCCCTGGAGGCAAGAATGGGAGAAGTTGATGAGGGAGCTAGAGAGCAGGATGTCTTGGGAGAAGCGGAGAGGACTGTTCGCATGATACTTTGAGATGAGGTTGGAGATATAGCCGGGGGCATAGTTGTGAATTGCAACCAAAATATTTTAGTGATGGTCCAGTTAAGAACATGACCAGTTATGAGTTTGAGTATGAGTGTAATCACGCGCATATATGAAAAAGAACTAGAGACTGTATTTTATTTGTGGAATTTATGTTTGTCATATTTGTAACACTAACCCTTTGGGAGTTGATTGTTATATTTCTCACAAGGAAGATTGTTTTCCACTTTTAGTTACTACGTTTTTCAGTTGTATCACGTTTTATGTACAACGTTTCATACTGGAGTTTTCTGTCACTATCATAGATTAGTGGAGCGCTGCACTTTTATTGTATAGTTAACCCTCAATAATATTCACAATTACAAGTATTTAAAATTACTTGTAATTTAAAATTGATTTCTTCAATTCCATGTATAGCTTAGGTACCTTTTGTTACTTTCCTTCCTTGTAAGCTGAGCAGTTTTTGTCCAATTCCCTCTGTATAAAGGCTAGCTGACTCTTCTTTGGGAAGATCTGCCTGGAAGCCAAAGTCCTTAACTTCTAGCAGTGTGAATGGTGTGACAAAGTTATACTGCAGTGCAAGTTTGCTGGCCTTTCTTGTTATTTCCTCCTTCTCATGGTCTCTGTCACTCTTATGCCAAGCTGTAAGGAGTTCCTTGAAGGTCAGGTAACCCCACAGCCTTTCAATGTGGTTCCTGTATTGCTTGCTGTCCTCAATAATCTTAGATCCTGTAATCTCCTTTGGTCCGGCACCTTCAATCTTTACATCAGCTTCTAGGACAACGTATTTGTTTCTGTTACTTGCTGTGATCTCAACATGTAAAGCATCACTGGATGTATTCATCAGCTTTCCGGCCACTACTATTTCCGACCCATTAAAGTAGTTATAGAACATGTTCTGTGTGACAGATTCAACACTATCTGGTGGATAGTCAATTTGAATATCAGATAATAATGGTGTTCCAATCTCATCATAAAACCTGAAATATACAAAGTAGCATTAAAAAAAGGGGGGGGGGGGGCGTGAGAC